GGCATGATCTTCAGAAGGCCTTGAAACCACAGAAAGGAGAAAAAACTGTACAAATCAGACACAGAACAAATATTGACACTACGATTCCAATTAATGTTTTACAGATTTCTTCCTGGGTATGTCATGAAAGAAACTTCCAGACCCTTCAATGAGGACACGCAATGTTTCAGTGCAACCAACTGTCCAACAACGGGCTACTGTGGAAGACAAGATAACATTGAGAAGTGTGGTACAAGACTAACAGCACGGAAGGAAACGTTCCTACTTATCTTCCGGAATTTACCGCATGGAAAGTCCACTGAAAATTTTGTACAAACATCCAATTCTGAGGGTCATAAAAAGCGATAAAAACTACCAGAAAAACAAATTATCATTATCAGTAATTAAATGGCTTCATGCAGAATGATAGCGTTTTCGACCGCTATTTATCCTACGAGTGATATTTTTCAGTAAATGCAAATAATAATTCTTCTTGTGTGTTTGTGCCTGACATTTAAAGGCGAATACCCACAAAGAACTGCGATACTGTTCTATCTCTTCGTTCTAATCAAAATATATTTCTGTAGTTAGTTCCAAATGCGATGAATCAATGTGGACACATTTCGGTTCATAAACCCAACATTAATCAAGAATCACGATAACGCAACTCAAATGTCAATAAACTAAGTTCTCTATCAATAATTATTACTCTGCCTTGCATATACTCCCCCCCCCCCCCCCAAGTACTTCTTCACAGCATGTCGCACGAACAGCAGGCTCTGGACCACCTGCCACACAGTCTAAACCTCGCACCAATCGATTTCCATTCATTCCAACTCCTGACGGAACTCCCAGCTGGCAAAGAATTTTCAGCCGATGGCGACGTTAATTTCGTTGTTGTTTCGTGGCGAAAGGCGCCAGACATTCTTTCAATTACGTTTTGACATACTATACTATATAGCCACGGTGGCCTAGCGGTTAGAACGCTGGCCTTGTAATCCTGGGGTCTCGGGTTCGTTTCCCGGCGGTGTCCGAATTTATAACTTGTGTTGGGCAAGGCCGTGGTCACGGAGTTTTCCTCCGGGGGCTTCCCCGGTTTCTCCGTGGCATCCCAATTACTCCATTCACACACAGAAGAAGGCAATGGCAAACCACTTCTGGATCATCTGCCAAGAACGTATATGAACAGGTCCCAGTCCGAGAAAAGGATGGAAGGATCCTGTTCATATGGACCTGTCGTCAGACAGAACACTAAATAAATAAATACTATACTATGGGGAAAAGTAATGAGTTCAAAACTCCTCTTCGTCTTTTCAAGCATATTTTTTTAACACCCTCGTATACAGAGTATCTAGTGACCGGATTCCAATGCTTCAGGGTGTAATTCCTGAGGTAATTCCCAGTCAGAAGTACCACATGAACACATGACCGATTCTCAACGGTTACGGGACTACGCACATTTGAAATTCATGATAACATAAACCTAACGTAGAACACCGGGGTCGTTAATGCAACTAGCAGCATCGAAAATTCAATGGTTTAGTTCCTCTCTTGTTTACTCTGTATCCATGCTCCATGTTTTACGTGTAACCCTAGGGGAATGAGGTCCGGTGATCACAGTGACCAATTCTGCTACCACCACGACCAACCCACCAGTCAGAGAGATAACCCGTCACGTGTCGACTGAAATATGGAGTGTCCCCTTCAAATCGTCTTTAATTATAGCCCATAACTGATCAAAAAAGGACATGTCCATGACATTTTCGACTGGGTGTTCGATCCTGAAGTGTTCACATTCGGTCACCAGACGTCCTGCATGCATATTCGATTGAAGTATGGGCCAAGCTATTATTCTTCTTCACCTACCAAGGTCTGTGGAGATTCACGTGCGCACATCCACGATATGAGCGGAATCCGAACCCGCGATCTGCGTTCATGTGGTCGAAGACCAAAATCTCAATTCAGGTCAACACAACGTAAAGACACTGTCATTTGTGCCGTCAGCCAAATGCAGTCCGATTTGTTGTCAGTGGCAAGCGAAGGTCTACGGATGTGTGGACGGCCGTCATTTGTCCGGGGCAGCAAACTTTGATACCCCACCGGAGTCCGTCTTTTGATAGCAGGTGTAAAGCGATGGAGAATGTTATAAGCCACTGAAGGGCTCAGCCAAACGCTGTCAATTACAGGTTAACGTATCAGATTCTGTTTTGCCTGTCATTTCATTGTTACA